CTATTATTTATCAGTATCACTGTTATAATCCTTGCTATTATTATTATCAGTGTCATTATCATTATTATTCTTAATATTATCGTTATCATCATTATTATTGTTGTTGTTGCAGTTGTTATCATTGTCATTTTTATTGTTGTTATTGTTTTCATCGTTATCACTATCTTTACCTTTATTATGCTTGAATATCGTAATATTCGTACCAGTATTGTTTTGAGTATTATGAACATTTCCGTTTCTAGCGTTACTACTAATACTACCGTTACTGTTACTACTACCATTACTATTCTTACCGTGAAAATATATTACGTCAGCGTTACTACTCGCAGTGGTAGCGTCCGTCTGGCCATCCGCTAACCAGCATTATTATCATAATTAATCCAGTGAAGTGAATATCGTGTCTAGAATTGTAGATTAACTTCCCACATCTCTATCTTGGTTCGCACTTTCTTCAGTTCAGTTAAGAAAGTGCTATGTGAACTTGATGTATTGTATGTTTATTTGTCTTAACTATTGATTTATTAACTAGTTAGCTAAGGAATATAACCTACCTTGCTTTCAGCTTTCTACCTAAAGGGATACTTCAAGGAATATAACCTACCTTGCCTTCAGCTTTCTACCTAAAGGGATATTTTGGTATTGTTGTTTGTTATGCTAGAGTTTGCGACTAAGAGTGACTGGCTTGTTTGTGAAGTTGGGTGTTGAATTTTTAAGCCTTGATGATATACTGTGCGGTTCGTAATTACTTATATATACACACAGGTAGTAAACAAGCAAGCAAGTTTCGCGCGCACACACACATATATATATGTGTGTGTGTTTTTATAGCATTTCTGAAACCCATAACACTTTGATACATGTTTGCCTTCACGTGCACGTTATTGGAACCTGTTGAAACGGATTTTCGGTCTGTATCAGTTTATAGGCCTCTTCCCTGATACAATGTGATACACTTCGGCCAGCCAATCAGAGCCTGATACTCCTAGACATGTTACACGTAGGCC